TAATGTTCTCATGGGAATCCCTGCTTCTGTGGTGCCTTGGCTTGCAGCCCATCGATGTTTCTCCACAGGTGACAGCAGCCCTCTTTTACCAAGGACCCCATTCAGCCCTTTCCTCTAACACTGAAATTACTGCAGAAAGTTTGTCATGTTGACTCTGCTACACAACTGACTCAGTCTCCACCACCCCCTACTTCTGCAGGAACAAGGATCGGTTCTGTACTATTACATGCAGAAGCATAACATTCTCAGTCACAGAATGGGATAATGGAGAAGAACAGTTACCTAATGATCCCCTCATGAGCCACAAAACCTATGCAACAAAGTTACTCAGAACTTTTACAATAGGAAAAGACAAAAATGCATCTACCTGCAGCCGCTGGAACACCCCTGACCGCAAATTCCCAAATCCGTAACGGTATTGCAGTGGTAGAGTGCTTTCTGCACTTTCTTCGTAAGGTGTTTGCTCTACTTCCCAGTCAAATTCTTCTTCCTCCTCTTCAGACTTAGAAGAGGCAGCTGAAGATATTGCATGGCCAGAGAAAGAAAATTATGACACAGAAAATACATATGATTTAATAGAAAGCCAAACACTGGTAACACAAGAAGTCTCATTTTACTGCATCTTTTAAGAAATGTTATACAAGACTGGGTTATACAGGGAGATGCTTATATCAGTAATCCATAGATCCTGCTCCAAATTCTGCAACTTTCAAAAATGAAGACCAGGAACACTGAAGTTTTTAAGTATACTCAAAGACTGAATCAACTCTTCTACTGATTTCAACCAGATCAGAATTTGATGCAAAGAAAACCCTGACAGGAGTGAAGTGATGTTATCAATTATTTAAGATGTGTATTAAAAAAAATAAACACAGATAGTTAAACCTTCGTGTCTGCTAAATACTGATGTTAAGCAAATCACCCACTAGAACCTGTGGCTTTAATGAGCTTCTACCACTTGAGCTAAAAGTCCAGTTGTGATAGCTTGTGGGAAGCAGAGGACCCAAATGTGTGTGTATTATACAGCCACTAGAGGGGTACAAAGACCTACAGAGGATTAGCATACGTTAAGCACGTATTGGAAAAATGTAAACATAACTAAGCCTATAAAGATGATGCGTATCACCTACAACACATTTGTTTTTATACTTAGCCATACTTTCAGATTCATTCACACCCTTCTCACACCTTGGACTAGACAATAACAGAAATACTCTCTTTTTCTACATATACCACTACATAGATAATGGTTTCATTTTGTACATTTATCATTGGTATAAATAAGATTTTTTTGTCATACCTATTTCTTCTACCAAAGGTTTCGCTGATCTTGATTTCTTTGGTGCTAAAAGAGATGTCAGCATGTCCAGTCCCTCAAAATATTGGCCAGGAGTCTCCTTCGGTAACCGAAACGTGAAAGTTCCTTAAAGGAAAGCCAGAATACAGTTATTGCATTAAAACACCCATAACAAGCAAAAAACGTTGTGTTGGGGACTCCAAAGCTGGACACAGTGCTCCAGGTGAGGTCTCACCAGAGCCGAGCAGAGGGACAGAATCCCCTCCCTCCATCTGCTGGCCACACTTCTTGTGATGCAGCCCAGGATGCGGTTTGCTTTCTGGGTTGCAGATGCACACTGGTGGCTCATGTGCAGCTTCTCAAGGACCCCAAGTCCTTTTCCTCAGGGCTGCTTTCCAGCACAACATCTCCGATCCTGTATTTACTAGACTAACGTTCTTGGTACAATATGTCTAGCCCCCACAGGGCTTCAAGAGGACTTGTACACTTTTTTTTCATTATTAGGACAGTTCTGAACACATCCTTTGTGCTTAAGGATGGCCTAAATAAGTACAATAAATACTAAACAAGATTTTTTTTATAGTACATATGAGAAACTTTACATTTATTTACAGTATCGTATATTTTACTGCACTGGAATTGCATAGAACTTTAGTGAAGTACAAATTATTGGAGATTTAGTAGCATTTTTAATGACACATACATATACCAAGAACATTAACTAATACCTTCATCTGTATTATAGCATGCTCTTTCTCTGCCATCTTCTACAGTTCTTCCAGGAAGTGTCAACCTGCAGGCAAGAAATGAGACGTCTCATTGAATGCTTGACTAATTCTGCAACTTAATGTCTCAGCCTATAAAATGGTAAGGCATATTCCAAAGCAGTACAAAGGACTCAATTACATGACTCCTGTTGATACTACTGGAATTCACGTAGATAAACCCCCATGTACTTCAAAAATCTTTTTCCCTAACTATTGGCGCAAGAGATCAGCATCTGAGATCAAGGAAATTTGTGACCCCTGGTTTTCCACCTTGGATGAGGTCACAGCTACCACAGAGATGACACCTTTGGCACTATGTACAGCACTTGGAAGATTCTGCAATTTGAAAACTCTGAGCTAATCCACAGTGACAGGATATGAGAACTCATCCAGAGTTCTTGTATTCAGAATAACTAATTCACTGCATTTTACCAGTTCACTAAAATCCCTTGTGGTCTACTAATGTATAGGGGGGAAGCATGTCTAAGAATACAGGAAACAGAAAATAAGGTTATTAACTCATCAGCTCTTAGATGCCAAAGGTTCTCTTAACACTTCATACTGAGATAGCAACTTCCTTACTATGCAATAAGAAAGGAAGAGGCAATCCAGGGAAAAGATACAGCCTGGTACCTCACTTCCTACCACCTCCACTCACTTGACTTTTCTCTCTTTATGTTATTACAAGTGCATCAAAATCTGTTCTTCACCAAATACACTGTATCTGGCTCTCAACAGGGAGGACACGCTTATGCTACACAATTTACAAACATCCAGACAATTGTCTTGCCATTTTACAATTAAAAGTCTACAATAAAGTATAAAAGTTTTCCTTTAAACTCCCCTTAACATGATTTAATGCCTAGAAACAAAGTGGCCAGATACATAAAAACAATTCTTTGCACAAAACGCGCTGTCTGCAGTCCACAGTATAAGAGCTGCAGATGAGGAATGTTCTGAAGGGACCAAAATCAAGCTCACTCTCTACTGACTTATATTTGTTTTATGAGATTATTTTTTTTAAATCCTTACTACTTGCCTGAGAAAGTATGGCTTAGCATAAAATTTAAAGTCTTCTCCTTCAAAATACACATCAAACTCTGAAGCTCTGGCATAAGGTACTTTGACTGTTATTGTAAGGAAATCTGGATCCTGGGTCAGCTCAAAAGCTGGAGTTATCATGATGAATTCACCAGGAAAAGCAACCACCGGCTGTGTGGCCCTATGAAGACAAGAAAACAAGAAAAGATTATTGTAATTTCCAATTTATGAGAGCAAATATTGTCTCTTCAAAAAGCTGTAAGAGCATTTCAGACTCTCACAAAATTATCTTCCACATGCTCAAGTAGAAAACACGCATGACAACAGCAACAAAACAAAACAAAAGCATTATCAAGAATTTAAAGATACCACCTTTCTGCATCTTAATGAAACAACCAAAGAAAAAGGAACACAAACATTTGGAGCACAGGAAAGCACATACTACATTCCACATAAAAAACACACTGAATTCAGTCCTACAACTTGGCAGCTTTCTGTAATTGTTTCTAATTTCACACATAGCAGATGTTAGATCTCTACAGTTCATCAGTGAGCTGATCACAAATCACTATTAGAAAACATTGAAGAACAGTACTGCTTTCAAAAAACTAGAGCTGTATTTTATAATTCATACACATATTAGCCAGAATACAAGCAACAGATAGATTCACCACACCACAAACAGATTATCTGAGCACACACAGCAAGTATACTGCTTACATACAGCAGAACTAAGATGTTTGTTGCAGTAAGGGGCTGGCAAAAAAAGGGACAAACACCTTGCTCTGCTTTCCTTCCAAGGCACTACAGTCAGACATAACTTCCCTCCGCTGCTCATTAAACTGGGTCAATACCGATTACTTTATCAAAGGCCGACTTTCAAGCCGTTCCGCGGGGCACAC